CCAGGCTTAGAGGAGCATTGGCAGCCTCTCCATTCCAGGCAGTGCTCCCAGGCCTCGTTGACCTGTGTGTCCAAGAAGATCCCAGGGCATCACACCGAGTGTCCGCTTGGAAACGGCTCCAGGGACCTGAATCCAGGCCACAACCCCCGAGAACCCAAGAGAAAGTCCCTCTTCTCTGGTGGGAAGGACACATGGGAATTTCCATGTACCGCCAAGCAAACAGCCACGCACGGTTTGCAGACAGGGATTATCGGGGCTGACACTGGATCTGGGCTGTCCCTCTTCACCCCTGTGAGAGGCACCTAGCTGGAGCGTGGAACCGGGTTTCCCGTTCCTCCTCCCTGAGCCCCCTGAGTCCCCACCTGCTTGCACTTTGCCCACCCGCTGCCCCAGCTCTGCCTCTGTCCACTGCTGGACTCATTTTCTTTGTTTTTCTTTTTTGGCTTTTTGGGTCATACCCGGTGATGCCCAGGGCTTACTCCCGGCTCATGCACTCAGGAATTACTCCTGGCGGTGCTCAGGGGACCATATGGGATGCTGGGAATTGAACCTGGATTGGCCGCGTGCAAGGCAAACGCCCTACCTGCTATGCTATCACTCCAACCCCCAACCACTTCTTTTATTTATTTATTTATTTATTTATTTGCATCATACCTGAAAATGCACAGGGGTTACTCCTAGCTCTTTACCTAGGAGTTACTCCTGGCAGTGCTCAAGGGACCATATGGGATGCTGAGAATCGAACCAGGGTCGGCCGCGTGCAAGGCAAACACCCTACCCACTGTGCTATTGCTCCAGCCCCAGGACTCATTTTCTTTCGAGTGCAGGTCAGACACTGCACTGGAAATGAAGCTTTCTCATACCCCCCACGAGCTGCAGGTCGATTCCCTGCCAGCTCCCGGTTTCTCATTGGGGAGTCTGGAAGGCTTGCAATGTGCTTTTTTTGGTACACATGTTCAGTGAAGTCTTTTCTCCAGGAAGAGAGACTTGCGCGGGGATTTGGCTTACCTTTGTATTCTTAGCCCCTCATCAAGGGCTGAGAAAGGAGAAACGAGCATGCTTGTTGAAAATAAATAAACAAACAAAGTATTGGGAGATAAGGCAAACTATTCCCTGGGGCGCAGGTATGGCTGAATCCAGGGCCAGAGCTCCCTCCCGGATTCCCCACACCTCTTCCCACCTGAGCAGCGGCCTGATCCCCAGACTGTCTCACACAGTCACAGGCGTGGGGGAGCAGTGTTCCCCGGAGCCTCTTGTTCCGGGTGCCCAGGGAGAGTAAAGGACCCTGGGAATGCCGGTGGTTTGAATGTGGGAGCTGGGGATGAACTTTGCTTGAGCATTAGGAACTCACGGAGGATGTAAATATTGGCGGAAAAAGTAATATCATTTTTTTTCTCCAAAAGGTAGTTTTGCAGTGAGAATTTGGAGAAGCGTAGTAACTTGATGCATTGACGTAGCCGAGAACCATCAGGGTCTCACAGTTGGGTGTCCCCTGAGACTGTCCCAACAGAAGTGGTCACTGTTGCCAACACCCCACTTTACACTTCAGTTCAACACCATCGGACGCAGCGGGCACTGCTGATGTGGGCGCCAGATGGCAAGAAACGCCGATGGCAGTGTTAGACAGACAGGAGTTATAGATGAGGAGAAGGACAGGGAGGGAACAAACAGAGGGTGGGTAGGAAGAAGACGCTGAGGGGTCATAATGGGGGGCAGGGGCAGGGCCTCGGGGTCTTGGGTGGCGGAGAGGCGTGGTAGAGCTGAATATCCACCCCAGCGCCAACAGCAGTGAAGGCAGGAGACCCCGACCACAGCAGACAGCTGAAAAACGCGCTGTCGGGGGGCGGGGGTTGGGGACACGGAGGGAGAGAAGCGACACAGGTGGTGGCACTATTGCTAGAACATTGTCAGCCCGAAACGCAGCCATGGACAACTTTGTGAATCACGGCGTCTTCGTTGAAAAAAATGTTTTAAAAAATTTTTTTTGAATTATAAATAAAATGCCATGCCAGCCCAAGCCTAGTTCTGCCATATGTAAAATCTGGAGTCAAACTGTGTGTGTGAAAGAAATTAAAAAAAAAACTTTGCATATTCAGAGCCTTCAGATTTTTAGAACTGGGGTAAACTGGAGCACCCTCATTTCATAATTGGCATTTAAATTTAACTTTAGAAAACCAAAATGCTTTTAAGATGAAATAAGAGTTGTGTTATATCAAAGCCCCAATGCCATGGCACCCCGTAGGGCCCCTGAAAGATGCCAGGAGTGATCCTTGGGCACAGCTGAGTGTGGCCCCCAAACAAACAAAAACTAGACTGTTTGACCACTTAATTTTTCCCGTTTTTAAAGTGGAAGTACTGTGGTCTACAGCGCTGCCAGTGAGAGCTTCATGCAGACATGGTCCCAGCCCTCCCCCTGGCTGCCCACTCCCATCCCCAGCCCTCTGTGGCCCTCCACCTGACTGCCCACCTCCTCCCCTAGCCCCCAGCCCAGCCTCAGGCAGATGCAGTTCCGAGGACCGGCTCTCCAGCCTGTTCCCTTTGGTCTCCTGTGGCTCTCACTGTTTCTCTGTACCCCACACGAGAGGCCATCCTGTGTGTCCCTTGCCCCTGGCTGACTGCACTCAGCACGTTCCCTCGGTTCCATAAATGTAGCAGCAAATCCCATGATTCCATCCTTTCTTACGGCTGCGTAATATCCCACTGTGTGTATATTCCATGTATTCATTGTGTTTATATTCTACCACCTCTTATGGTTGCATAGTATCCCACTGTGTGTATATGCCACTGTCTCTCAGGGCTGCATAGTATGCCACTGTGTGTGTATTCCACCACCTCTTAGGGCTGCATAGTATCCCACTGTGTATATCCCATCGCCTCTGATGCCCTCCTCTGTAGTTGGACCTTTGGGCTGTTTCCCTACCCTGCTATTGTGTGAACACATATCATTTGGTGTGCACAGATATCATTTGGTGGCACCTACAGGTGCTTTAGCAGAGTCTGTAGCTGTCCATGCCTGGGGCGCTAGCCCCGGGAGCACTGTGGGAGGGAGCCCCTGCACTCAGTGTGGACTGAGTTGGGGGTGTGTGAGGCATCCTGAGAGTGATTATGGGCTGTCAACAGCTCTTGGGAACAGAGGCCCTGGTGGAAATGGGGTATGTCTGGCCAGCCCCTGGTCCTCTTCACTCGCCGATGTGAGGGGCAGGTGGCGAGTCTTTCAACAGGCTTCCCCACAGGGTACATGGGCATCCCTCCAGGACGTCTTGTGGAAACTCATCTGCAAGTGAGTTCCTTGGGGGGGGGGGGGGGGGGGGGGGAGTCAGACCGTGTCACTGCAGCACAGCCTCAGGTCTTGTCCTGGAGCCCCTCAGCCCCCAGACACTCAGTATCCGCTCTCCCCCTCGCCGGCCCCACGCAAGCATCTCCCCTGGCACACAGAGGCCGAGGAAGCCCAAGTCCTCCAAACAGTTGGACTCTCAAACAGTTGGCCGTGTATATTGCAGTTGTGTCTCCGCAACGTGCCTTGCTGGGACTTTCTGAGTTTCTGGACTCACTCGCCCGACCTCCTGCAGACACTCCCACCCCTGGACAGAGGGACCCGGGCGTATTATCTGACTTTTGGAGCGAAGATGAGACAGGTAGTCAGCACGGGGCTGCCTCCTCTCTCCTGCAAGCTAAGGGAGAGTCACGATTCCCTGCAGGTTTCTGGGTCTGACCCACCTGCTCAGGGGTCCCGCCAGCTCGACTGTCTGGGACGAACGACACTGCAGGACTCTGTGTTAGGAGCATGAGGTTGCTGCTGTGGACGGAGGACCCCCGGCCAGCTTCCCCTCATCCTTAGGGCCTTGCGTTTCCTCCCAACTCAGAATGCAGCAGCAGGCGTGGCTCATGTGTTGTCCCGGTGCTAGTCAACTGCCTTTTAGGATTTGTAAGAAATTGGTAAGAGTGAGTGAAAAGGGGAAGTAAAAAATGAATAAATTCCATAGTGAATAAATAGTCCCCCACCCGTGTGACCTACTCAGACAACCCCACAGACCCCAGGGACCCTGCTTGTTAGAGGGAACACTGCCCACCTGCCTTGCCTCTGCCCCGGAAGGGAGAGGGCAGCCTGCCTCTACTGTCTGGGGTTAGTAGGCACCTGCAGCAAGGACGAGCATGACGGAGGGGGGGGGGGGGCGGGGGGGGGAACGACGGGGGCTGAGAAAGGGTACAACAGGGTGAGCTGCGCCCCCCACACGGTCCCTACAGCCCCTCCAGAAGCGAGCCCTGAGCACAGTGCTGGGGGCAAGCCCTGAGCACCACCGGATGTGGCCCCCAAGACAAAACAAAGAAAACAAAACCCAAGAGCCCAACTCACCAGGCTCGAGGAACGTCTCTGCCCTGGCACACTCCTGCAGTATGGAAATGCATCGCTCCCAGTTCCCAGGAAGTGCCGAGGTGCTGCAGAGGTGGGGGCAGAGACCAGGGGTCCTGTTCAGGCTGGAGAGTCACCTGGGGAAGTGAGAGTCCTGTGACACCACCTTACTGCTTCTTGTGGCCACCTGCTTAGGGCTGTGAACAAAGGACAAATGCCTTTGGGATGCTGGGACATTCAGGCCTCACCCCTGGGGTGCTGGGCCCCTTGCAGTCCCACCCCTGCGACCCCACCCTTGGGCCCTCACTCCTTAGTTTAGCAGTTCCTTTCCCTGGTGGGTGAGAGGGCGCTGGCTCCTGTTCTGTGTGACTCTGCCGCTAGCCTCCCAGCACGCCCCATGGAGCTTCCTTGGCTCCTTGGCTCAGGGGAAAGAAGCCGACTCACCCAGGTGTGTGGATCCTTCTAGAAAGGCAGTTGTTGACCCGTGGACATTCATGTCCCTCCAAAGGCTGGACGCTGGGGCCTTGTAAGGCCGAGGTAAGGACCAATGTCTCCTCCAGCCCACAAGCTCATTCACCGCCGGAATGTTTACAGAGCAGTAACGCTTACCCCAAGACCACATCTGTGACCGAGCTTCTGTTTCTTCCAGGAATTCTTCTTTAAATGTGGAGCGCACCCGACCTCGGACAAGGAGACATCCGTGGCCTTGAACCTGATCACCAGCAACAGTCGCTCCATCACCTGTATCGCGTGCACCGACGTCAGGTAAGGGCCTGGCATGGGGTCTCGGGACCCCCGGGCTTCCTGCTTGATTTGGATGCTGACCACCCAGCTGAGTAGTTTCCATGTGATGACGCTCTTCAGAAGGCCAGGTCCTTAGTTCAGCTAGCGAGGACCTAAGGGCGAGGAAAGATGACTTTGGTCTAGAAATGGTGTGATTTGAGTTTGTGTTGGGAAGCAACACACCTGGCAGGAAGGTGTGTTGGTGAAGTGCCACGTGAGTGAGTAGACTCAGTGGAGTGTCTTTCCTGAACTAGACTTTGGATGTTGGATGCTGGACAGACCAACTGCAGAGTGGGGCACTGAGCGCAGAATTCCCTACTCATGTATCTACCTGAGCAGAGGGAAAGAAAGGGGTTCTGTTTCATGTTCCTGGGGTGCTGGTACTGATGCGTTGTCAAATGAAATATAAACATGATGCTGTTATCAAAGACAGAATTTACGGCCCATAACATTTCATGTTTTAAGCGTCTTTCTCAGATGCTCTAGTGGTTCCACGTGCTTTTCTGATTTTATGCTGGGGCTCCACATACATTCATTCATACGGTCCCCAAACCAAAAAAAAAAAAAAAGCTTGGAGCTGGTTTGGAACCTAAGTCTTCCTACTCCTGGTGAAAGAGTCCATGAAATACCCTGGGAGCAACTTCCATGTGAATTGTAGTTCGGGAACAGTAGCTGTGAACTGTAGTTTGGGAATTCGGTCAAGGTGGAGGATGTTGGACAGATCGCCTGCAGAGAGGGGCACAGAATTATCTTATTAGTGCAGAATTCCCTACTCATGTCTCTACCCGAGCAGAGGGAAAGAAAGGGGTTCTGTTTCATGTTCCTGGGGTGGGCCGGAGGCCCCGGCTGCAGCTCTGCTGGCAGGAAGTTGTGTTGGTGAAATGCCACGTGAGTGAGTAGACTCAGTGGAGTTTCTTTCCTGAACTAGACTTTGGGCACAAAGAGCCGTGCTGTGTCTGACGTGCTCCCCTCTGGACTCCAGGGCTGCTCTGAGGGTCTCACAGCTCCTTTAAACTCCGTGCCTTGGTGACTTGTCAGTGTTGGTACTCCTAATGGGGCGCTTCTCCTTAACGAAACTAAGCCAGTGGACTGACCGGCAGCAGCCTAGAAACCGAGTACGGTCTTCTATGGCACGGGTGGTCCCTGCTTTGCCGGCTTCACCCCACCCATCAGACCTGCCACCCCCCCGCCACCAGTGCCAGGTGAGTGGTCACATGCCAGACATATAGTCCTTGCCTCTGGAATCCCAGGACAGGCCGTGTACAGCACCGAGAGGCGGGCCACCGGTAGCTGGGAGCACTTGCTGGAGTGGCAAAAGATACATCCAGAACAGCTTTTCTCTAGGTGAGAAGCCAGCGCCTCAGCCAGACATTAAAACCTTCCGTTAAACCTGCTACAGCACTGTAGCACCGTAGCACTGTCCTCCCGTTGTTCATCGATTTGCTCAAGCGGGCACCAGTAACACCTCTATTGTGAGACTTGTTGTTCCTGTGTTTGGCATATCGAACATGCCACGGTGAGCTTGCCAGGCTCTGCCATGCAGGTGGGATAGTATCAGTAGCTTGCCGGGCTCTCTGAGCGGGACGGAGGAATCGAACCTGGGTCGGCCTCGTACAAGGCAAATGCCCTACCCACTGTGCTGTCACTCCAGCCCTGCTAAAGATGACATTAAAAAGCATGATGCTGGCACGACTCTCTCCTGGGCATCACCACATGCTTCCCGCAGCTAAGCTGTCACCTTTACACTAACACCTCAGTACCCTGTGAAGGAAGCGATCCAGTTCCCACTGCTAACAAATAACGTTGTCTGCTGCAAAGCACATTTTTTCCATCATTACACTGGGGCGGGGGAAGTTAAATAGAGGCTACTCTACCCTGGTAGGTTGATTCATCTGTGTGTGTGTGTCTGTGTGTGTGTGTGTGTGTGTGTGTGTGTGTGTGTGTGTGTGTGTGTGTCCCCGACCACCTGATTAGGTAGGACCTTCCCGGAAGGCAGAGGATGGATGCCTGAGGGCCATAGACAGCAGGAAAGTGCTCTTCCTCCTCCCACCCAAAAAGCTGTAAAGGCCCCCAAGAACACCCCAGTCTTCTGCACTGGACTTTAGTGATCATTGGGGGTGTTTTTCACATGAAAGTATTATTTATAATTTAGAAGTAATTCATTTACAATAAACTACCAAAAATATGGAAAGTGTTTGCCCTTGCGTCTAGAATGCTTTGGGTTTAACCTCTCCAGCATCTTGGGCATGTCTCAGATCTGCATGGATATGTAGTACATGTGTGTGTGTGTGTGTGTATATATATATATATATATATATATATATACATGTATGTGTGTGAGGGGGGGTTATGCACAAATGCACAGTTTGTATAATAGTACCATATTAGTTTTATATCTGGATTTTCCTATTCACTATGGCTTCATGATCAGATTTCACTGTTATTAAATGTTCCATAAGTACAAGTGTTTTTTTAAGTAAATAGCATTGTGTCATGTGGGGATCCTCTATTCATTTCCTTATTGCCGATGATTTGAACATCTTATGTTGTAAGTGTAGCTATTAGCACAAGACTGACATCTGTGTCATTTTACACAAGCTCTTGGCTTCATGCTTTCAGTCTGCAAATGCCGTCAGAAAGGTCGTTGGCATTGGGCATACAGAAGGGCTTGGTGTGTGTTGCCAGATTTCTTTCTAGGCATGGTATCCCATTTCAGATGTGATGGGCCATTTTTCAGAGGATTCTTTCAAGCGCTGTTTATTATTTTACTCTTTGCCCATTTGCTAGAGGAAATCATTTGGTGTTTTTATTTTTATGAGGAATTCAAGCATTTTTCAATTGTTTATTTGCATTTACTATTAAGAAAGAAAGTTTTAGGATTGTGGAAATAAGACCCAAACTCAGCAATTACTTTGTCATTCACTGTTCCTGACATAACTGTTCCCCTTATTAACTTAAGTTTCTTGACCTTTGACAGTAAACATATTCCTTGAATTTTGATGTTGACATAATCTTTCCTCCTGAAGGTAGATGAAAAGATATTATTAATTATAAATTTGAAAATTAAATGCATGGTGCTTTGTATATCTTAAGTTTATTTATTTTACTTTCCTATGTGTATTGATCATTTCGTATGTCATTAGCTAAATTGAACAAAACTACATAATAGATTAAGACTAGAAAATAGTGTTTAATCCAAATATTTTTCTGTGCAGCCCTTTTAAGACTACAAAAAATTGAAATTTGGGGGCCAACATGATACATTAATGCTTAGGGTGCTTGACTTGCTTGCAGCTAACCCCAGTTGGGACCCCAAGCACCATATAGGAGCCCCCTCCACACACCACCAGACCCCACGCCCGGCTGAGAGCCTGCAATAGCTCCTGAGCACCACCAGTGATGGCCCAAACACCGCTCCCTTGCCCCAAAATGTAAAGACTTCCTTTTTTTTTAGAAGATCCTGGGAATTCCAAAGAAGTTACAGAGATTTTGCATAAAATTCTATCCTCCAAACATGCATATCCTCCTGCTGAAAGTCCTCACTCTTCAGCGGGGTATGTATCTGTATCTCAACTCAAAGATGGCCCAATACATTATAGCCATCAAAACTCCCTATTTCATCTCACGTGGTTTACTTTTGGTGTGGTATATTCTATAAGAGTGCGCAAATGTCTGAAAACATATATCTCCATCACTGTGATATCATACAGACTATTTTCATTGCCCTGAAGATTCTCAATGCTCCACTCTGTAGTCCAGGAAACTGCTGGTTTTTTCCTGTCTGCAGAGTTTGCCTGATCTAGAATATCATGCAGCTGAAATAAAATTATGTGTAGCCTTTCCACATCGACTTCTTGCACTTAGTATATGGACCTGAAGGTTCTCTGTATATTCTCATGGCTTTCTACTCATTTTTTTCTTAGTAGTGAATTAGGGGAAGAGGTAAATGGCTGGTATCTAGTTTTACTTATGAATTTTTTCTTATACCTGCCCATTGCCCCAGTGCTGTAGTCTTGGTGGAGAATACTATCTTTGATATATTGCCCTTGTCCCTTTGTCTAAGACTAGTCGAGCATATTTATTGGAGTCTATTTCTGGGCTCTCTATTCTGTTACATGATCGATTTGTCTGTACTTTTGCCATTTCTACACTCTTTAGATCACTGTCGCTTTGTAGTAAATCTTGCATTTAGGTGGCATGAGCCCTGCAACTTTAATTTGCCCCGTTCCTGTGTCACCTCTTCTGGGTCTTTTGCAGCTCCAAGTAAAGCTGAAAATTTGTTTATCAAAAAGTGTAACTTCATGGGATACTGATTTTAATGACTTTGACTCTGTAGATCAAGTTTCAGAGAATTGGCATCCAACAATATCAGCCTCTGTCTAACCACTTAAATGAATTCTATTGTTGTGTAGTTGTCACTGCACTCATCGGCATTTTGTTGTTTTCTTTGTATATATTTGCAAAGATTTTAAATATTTTAAAATTAGACTTATACCTGTTGTTTATTTGGGAGGGTACTATAGTAAATAGTTATATGGTATCAAAATCTCCTCGTTCATTGTTGGAACACAGAGTGGCACTTATTACAATTGCATGTTAAAATTATACCCTTCAACCTGCTGTGATCACACTTGGCTCCAGGGGTTTTAGTTGGTGGTGATTCTTCTCAATCTACTACACAGATTTCCATGTAATCTATGAACAAAGACAGTTTCTTGTCCTTAATCCCAATCTATTGACTTTCATTTCCTTTCCTTTGTCTATTGCATTTTCAAGTTCTTTGATAGGGATGTTCAAAGGAACAAGGAGAGGGGATACTCTTGTCTGTACTTGACTTTATTGGGCTGTCACCATTAAGAAAGATGTCAGCCGCATTGCACTATGGGTAGAGTTTATAAAAAGGGGCAAATTCCCTTCTAGCCTAGTTTGCTGACTTTTTAAAAAAAAATCATAAATGTCAATTTTATTGAATTATTTTTCTG